TCAAGGCCACTGGCCGTACGATTCCGCTTGGTTCCAGCACTGGAAGTAAGCCTCTATGTCTTTGAACGGGTGGAACGACACGTGTGCCGAGGTGCAGACGACCGGATGCTGACCACATGCGAGCTCATCCAGCAGGGCGAACTGGTCCTCCTTGCGGACGCCAAGCCTATTGAGGCATCGTCGCAAGTACTTGTCCTCGCCGAAAGGCTGTCGGCGGATGTCCTCGCACTTGCGCAAGCCCGCTATGTATGTCGCGACGGCGTTCCGTGAGAGAACCTCGATCGGTCCGTGGAGCTGGAACTCGCAATTGTTCAAATACATGCTCGCGCTTGACACATTGCATGCGAGGTCTCCACAGTCGCAACCGCAATCGACTGGCGGTTCCCTTGCCGCCAATCGCCGCGCATCCCCGCAGGTCCTCCCCTCACGCTGCAAGCGTTGGATGTGCTCTGGGCATGACATGTTCTCGCGGGAGGGATCCCTGCATTTTCCGCACGCGGCTCCCATGGAATGATTCGTGCCCCACTGGGACATATCGACCATCGGCTCGAGCGTCAACAACTGTTGCAGCCGATCGGGGAAGAACACCGAATCTGGATCTACCTTCACTGTCCAATCATTTTGTTGGTACCTGCCGACCATGGACACAGCGTCCCACACACGGACAAAGATATCCGTGTTCAAGGCGGTGTACCACTTGCCCCCGTACTCAACTTCCAGGTCACCGTGGATTGGCAATGTTAGAACCCTGCGAGAACTGTCGCTGCTGAGGTCGTACGTTACATTACTGAAGACCAGATAATCTGCACACGCAAACAAGCCGACACCCTTCGCGAGCTGGGCCTGCAAGAGCTGAGGCTCGTAACCGAACGGCAGCATCAGCGCGAAGCAGAAGAGGGACGGCGCCTTGACAGACTCGGGCTCCGGGCACGCGGCCACGGAGAACTCCGCCGCCGCGAGCGCAGGGTCGACGCTGGCGCTCTTGGCCACGTAGTCGTACGCCTCGCACAGGGCCTGGCCCCCGCGCACGCACGGCCCCCCGCCGCACCACACGCAGGGCTGGCCGTTGGTGCTGGCCTCGCTCCACGGGTCCGTCGGGCGACCATCGCGGCTCGCGGAGCACTCCTCGACGGTCTGCGCGGCAGCACATCCGTCCGGCTGCCACTTGAGGCATGCCAGAGCGACGGGGCGCTTCGCAGGTGCCGGGAGCGTGTGCGCGCTGCTGTTGGAGCTCGTCGCTGCCGATGCTGTCCCGAAATCCAAGGGCTCGGATGTCGAGGGCAAGGTGGTGGTGGTCGCCTGTGGCCCCGACGCCCTCGCCCGCGCGGTTCTATTGAGGCTGGAGGCGGCGGACCTCCTAGCTGCCCTGTGCTCGCCCTCGGCATCAGTAGGGGCCGCAGCGCTGCTGGAGGCATCTGTGCCCTGCGCTTCGCAGACAGGGCTCAGCAGGCGCCCTGCGGCCTGCTTGGCGCCGCCGCCCAGGCCGTGCGGCCCCGGCGAGAACCACACGGTTGCCCCGCGATCGTCCTCGAGGACGTAGCAGCCCGCGACCTCCGTGGGCGTCTCGGTGGCATCCGCCAGGCCGAGAACCACCGCGGCGGCGCTGCACACGCGGCGGCTGCTGATGGACACCATCCCGACGCCCTCGCACGGCCCCTCGGCGATGACCTGAAAATGGAGCTGGTTCTGCCACAGCTCGGACTCCTTGAGAAGGCCCTCGCCGCCGCGCAGCACCCCGGGAGGCGACAGCGCAAGGCCGGGGGGCCGCCAGCGGATCCACACCGCGACGGCGGCAAGGCCGACGAGCAGGACGGGCAGGCGTGCATGGTGAGCCACTCCACCGCGCGGGCCTCGCCAGCAGGCGGCGGGACCAGTGACGGTACGGCCCTCTGGGGCCAGCGATGCCTCGGAGGCGACCTGGCCCAGCGAGGCTGCCGCCCGGGTGTCCAGAGGTGCCGATGGCAGAAGAAGAAAAAGTCGCAGTCATGAACTAACCAGCCTCGAACTGACCCCTACCCCTATCCCTAAGATGGGCAAGCCAGAAGCGATGACAATCTTGGGGGCTCTCAGAAACTGAGGGAATCCTTAAGATCGGCATCGAGGTAAGATGATGCCAAACATAGGGACAGGGATATGTTTCAAACTGGTAATGAACGTTCGCAGGGTCCGCGCGGAGTTCTTGGATCGGTGCTGGGCGCCCCCCTCCCCGGCGTGCGGAGCCGGAGGCGACGTCAGGGGGCACCGGCGCAGATCCGAGGAACCCGCGCAGAGCAAGGAGGGTACATGCTTGCGCCGCTGTGTGGGGGGGGGAGACAAGAAGACACCGATACCGCTACAGCCAACCCGTATTAAGAGGATGCGCGGCAAGGATGCAAGGGCCTCGGAGGCCCATGCGAGCGCTTTTCGAACGAGGCTGGCCAGCGAAAGTCGCTGAGGGTGGGCCGAAGGGGCAAGGATGCAGAAGTACCCTGTGGAAGGTTGCTCATCCTTCCAATGCGGG